CCGATCCGTCGGATTTCTAAAAGGTAATATGTAAACTTTTGTCGCCAGAGCCGGTCCCCCCCCCCCCAGTTTATATGTCATTGTTAACCGTGTACCGTTCGATTTGGATATTAGACATAGGAGCCTGGCAACATGTAGATAATTCTCGCACCCGACCCTACGAATACATGCAAGTTTGGGATGGTATCAGCGACTCTAGACTAAGCTTTGATCTCGATAATATCAAGTCGGATGCCATCGCGTGGATTGTGGAAAACAATCATATTCAACGTGCGATTCTTGCCCGTCTTGAGGAATGCTATAATGGGAATGTGGACGTTTTCGACGGCACAAAGGTTGAAAAAATTTTTTACGAAAGTGAATCAGGAAATGAATTTGATCTGTCAGATTGGCCCACTGTTTTTCTAAGTAGTGGAAAGACTTTAAAGGCGCGTCTACTGGTAAGCATGATATAATTTAGAATTAGCTTACCCATAACTGGAATTTGTCAAACGAATCTGTCATTTACCATTTTGTATAGGTCGGCGCTGATGGAATAAACTCAGCTGTACGCTCTTTTGCTGGTATAGATATGCTTGGTTGGGATTATGACGCCAATGCAGTTGTTGCCACGTTACATGTTGACCCTCTAGTGGAGAATAAGACAGCTTGGCAGCGATTCCTTCCAACCGGACCTATTGCCATGTTACCGGCAAGTACATTTACTTGTTCTATCGTCTAATAGACTCGAAGTATATATAATACTATATATTCCGTTTTTGTACAGCTTAGAGAAGGCTTTTCTTCACTAGTGTGGTCTACTATTCCTGCATTGGCGTCAAAACTTCGTCTCCTTCCAGAAAGCGATTTTGTTCATCTTGTCAATGCTGCTTTCCGACTGCGTTTGGCCGACCTACAGTATTTTCAGTCACAGCTTTTAGAGGGAGGCGATATAAATTTACAAGATGAAATTACATGGCGGGAACAAGTTGAAACCAAGAATATCGCGGATGAGAACATGGATAAAGATAGAATATTACCCCCAAGGGTTTTTGGCGTGCAAGAAAAGAGTAGAGCTTCTTTTCCATTGAAGATGAGGAACGCTGAGAGATATGTTAAAGAGAGGATTACCTTGATTGGGTAAGAAAAGGCACAAGTGAATTAATGTGAAAATGAATTAAAGTGGGTCTGACATTTGTTCTTGTCAACAGTGATGCAGCACATACCATACACCCACTTGCTGGTCAAGGATTAAATCAAGGAATTGCAGATGTCCAATGCCTGACGCAAACCATTCAGGCTGGAGTTAACACAGGACAGAACATTGGTAATCTTTAATACAACTATGCTCACCAAAGCACTCTGCACAATAATAATTATATAATACTTTCTAGGTGATCTGGAATTACTTGGCGAATACTCGTCTGCTCGATACTTGCCCAACCTTGCTATGATTGGGGCTGTAGATAAATTACATAAATTATATGCCACTGAATTTGGTCCAATAGTATGGTCAAGATCTATTGGGTTAAACGCGATCAACAGAATGTCGCCGCTCAAGGTATGGTATTAATGTGGACTAGGACAACTATACATTGTGTCTGATGAAAGGACCATATTCATTAAGCTGCTAATATTCATCTCTCATTCAGGCTGAAATAATGAAATTCGCCATGGGGATCGGAACGGATACTCACGGATAATAATAAATAATGCTAATCATTGAATGAATAAGACCGAGAATGGTTCTTGTATGTTTATTATTATATCAGCAATTAAAGATTAAAATATTAATATATATAATGTGTAACCCGATTCTGCTAGTATGTGAATGAGTCTTAAAACTGGATTTTTTTGAAGCGTCAAGGTTGCAGTAGTAGTAGCCTGAACGTTACCATTTTACATTTACATTTACATTTACATTTATTATTATATTTACTGATTTAGATTTCAATAATGATTTTACTGAAATTACATTCTTGATAGGGCAGTCAATGGCTTAGTATTAGATTTCAATTCAAATTCAAGTAAGATAATCCTTCAAATCTTTGTGAGGTTTTAAAGTTTCAACCCTATGTTCTTTAACAGTGTTGTCAACTGCATTTCAAATTCTCTATTACTATTTAAACTTCTCCCTTTAACGGCTAACTGTTTCGTTTTTTCTAAATTTTTTTTTTAAAAATATTTACTATTATTATTATATTCCTTTTAAAATAATTAAAGGCAATAAAAGATGACGGGTACTGTTTATGTTATAATATTAGACAGATAACCTAATGACAGCGAGGAATTAACAAACGGACAAATACTATAGTAAAAATAATTATAACCAAGGAGGAGGGGATAGTAATAGGAAAGTATTTTTTGTTATTTCAGAAAACTTTTGCTTTTTAGTTTTCAATAGATTAAATTTAGTATAAGCACTATTATAATTAGCAACCATCTACATCTGGTCTTTGACAATCCGGGGTTAACTGCTTCAAACAGAAAATGTTGATAATTTTGCAAACCACTCAATTTTTAAGGAAAAATCTCCAACACGGAATCAAATCCCCAGCACGGAATCAAAATCCAAATATTGAAAATTTTTTCCATTGTCCGCTTTGTGTAATCCAGCTGTACTTGATGTTTTCACAACCTCAACAATATAATCTATGTCATTTTCGGTATGGTTTCTTAATCAATCCAAAACTACCATCACACTTGAATTTAGGATGCCCCGGTACCATGAAATTTAATTTCGTAAATTTTACTCATAATTGCTATAATAACAAGATTAAAGATTATCTATAAATTTGTATCTGAGCCATAGATATGCTACTAAATTTCAAAACAGCACTAATTACTTAATATTTACTAATCTTTCAGTCACATGGGACTCTCATTTATGTCACATAATAATGTTCACTTGTCTGGTTTTTCTTATAGCCTGCCCCAAATTTACTAGTCTTCTGGTTTACACATTAAATCGACGACATCACTATCAATGCTTACGCAATATAGTATCACAATAGCCAAATTCGGTGAAAAGGTATAAAATAAGAAACAATAGAGATTTTTCGTATCCATGTCTTACACTTATATTGACCTCTTGCTTTCGTGAAGAATTTAATCTCAGGACTTTTTCTAAATTAAAAATAATTGCGGAAATGTAGACTAACCGTCCAATATAAACTACAGGTAAACGCCAGCACGTGATTAATACCCCTCGTGAGCATTGGCACGATTCATTTACAAATGTAGCCAATTTTGTTGGTTATCAATGTCGAACATTCTCTTTGTATTATGATTTCACCGAGTATATTAGTAAATTACATAATAATAAATTATTTATCAAAAAATTGCAATACGATTTTGCAAAAGACATTATAATTATATCATTCTTTTTATAATTAAATTTATATTAAACAATTGTTTCGACCATTCACCGAAATAAAATAAAATTAATATTAACAAAAAAAAAACAAAAAATTTAGTATTGATTTGTTCACGCACAGTTCTTGCTATCGAACGGTTAGTAATATCAGATTGTAAATGACAGGCGACTAACAATAATCGCCAGTCTTGATACAATAAACGTGGCTATCAGATGTAAGACTAAGCCCCAACTCACGCTCAAGTGTGTGAGAAAAGATGTTATGATGTCGTATCTGGTGGTGAATTACCAACAAAATGTTTGACCAATGTATAATTATACTCTCTAGTAAATCAAAATACCAGACTGTTTTAATGTAATATTTTTAAATTAACTTTATTCAAAGCTTAAGCGTTGAGTTTAACAGCTCTTGTTGTTATTTTACGTATTTTAACCTTTTGGTTTTCTTCTACAATTTACTTATTTTGTGTTCCCCCCCTTTTTTTTTTTACTGCTAAGATAATAGTGTCTTGCAATTTGTTAATGAACTCGATTACTCAAACATTGAAAACTTTTGAAGTGTCACAGCGAAAAGTGTAAAAATCATTTGTTTTGCTTCCTTTTTTTTTTTTTTAATGAGAATTCGGCATAGACTGCTCTCAAATTTTTAAAAGACAAACGCAATTAAAACCGATTGTTTGTAATAAGCTTTTTCGGATGTCTTCCGGTAAATTAAGAGAAAAAGGGTATGTGAGCACTACTTTCATTTGCAGGCTTGCATAATCGGCGATGAATCAGATAAACCTTCTCCAATCGCATTCCCACACGTTTGGTTAATCATTAAATATTTGGGTTTCAAAATCTTTCCTCCAATCTTTTCCAACACATCCATTTTTATTTTGATCACGCGGCCCGACAACAATAATAATAAACAAATTGCATTTAAACCCCTCAGATAAAAATAAAAAATCATTTAGAAATTCTGTGTCACCCTGAAACTTGTTTGGCTTGACGAAAATTTCCGCACTCATCCCCCGCTCACAATGTTATTCGATGCAGGTCGATCTGTTTAGGGAAATTTTATTAAAAGGGTAGGGCATGTGAGGATCTTATCATTATCGGATCATCGTGATTGTGCACTTGAATCAAAGCGTCATGTGACGATGGTTACAAGGATAATATTGTGCCAAGGACTGATAAGATAACATGATAACCAATGTGCTACGATGCATAGCCTTCACCATGGGTTAGAAGAGTGGCCCATTCAATGTATAGGATACCAAGTTACAAGACCATCGAGGTAAGAAAAAGTGAATCGAGATGTTATCCGTTACCCTTGTTATAAAAGTTTTTTTCCTGAATTTCCTATTTCAAAAGTTCACCTTTGCACGGTCGATAGCACATTTAGTCCTACGTCGGGTCGTACATTTCCGATCGCATCATGTGGTCTGGCTCAATGGGTCATAAGCGCATAAGCTAAAGTTTGTCGCGGATGGGAGAGGGGGAGAAGAGAATACATGCACATGTCATGAGGTGAAATGCGCTGCAGTAACACATAAACAATAAAGAATAAGGTAATTTGCGGCGAAAATAGGTTATATTCACCCGTTTGGAACTCTTAATAACGGTAACATAAAAGAACACATGACTATCGATAGCTCATCAGTACTCCGCTAAGCAGATAAACAACAGTCGGTCTTAAATAACTATATATAAGGACTTGTTTCAAGGGATTTTAAATGACTCTTTCTAAATGAGAGGAGAAAAAAAATCCCCGATGCAACAATCGCAATAATTTGACTTTAACCGAAGAAACAGATTTTGAAAAATCACAATATACAAAATTCATCAAATTCTAGTGCTGTCATACGTTTCATATACGTAAAAAAACACGTAACAACCTCATGTACCAAGAGCATTATTGGGACTTAGATTCTTTTTTATATAATCATCTATCTCTATCGAATCACCTTGTGAACTCGGCGGAATACTCTAACGAAAATTTTCAGCTTCTTACTCGGCCACCGTATAAAACTTATCTTCCTCCCATTGACCTAGTACACCCGGGTACTCGGTTGAGCAAATCACGTTCGCGCAGAGATGATCAACCTCCACGCCCTCAAAACGGTTTCATTATTTTCAAGAAAGACTTTGATGCTAGAAGGCGGAGTATACTCAGTGATACCAAAGTCGATAGTAAAGTTATGAGCAAAACGGCCGCATACATATGGCATTCAGATGAGGGTTTGAGAAAGTACTTTAATCTGCTGGCCAAACTCGCCGCGCAAATCCATAAGGAGTTATATCCAGAATACGATTATAAACCAAAGAAATGCTCGACCGAGACAGAAAAAGGAGCAAAACCGCTGCGTATCAGACAATACTCTGGACCCTCCGAAAGAAGAGCGAAAAGAAGAGAAAAAGTTGTCGGTCGACGGGAAGCCGAAGATTTTTGCAAAGGATTTGACGCTAGTGGGCAGGCTTTTAGCGGTCAAAGTTTCATGAAGGACGTGGTCGTTAGTGCGTTGAATGGTAGTGAACAGTAAACGAAACGTGCTTTAAACACACAGGTAAGTTGATTCTATATTCCGTTTGTTTTGCTTTTTTTTTTGTTACTAATATTTGATAAATATTTATTGATTACTGTTTACATTGTGAGAGATTACCATGTGATGAATAATGCATTGTGAATTGGGGGAAGAGAAAAAGAGAGAGAAATGTATAGCAAATTTGTAATAATAATCTAGTGCCTGGAATGTCCTTGTATGTATATATCTAACTTATAAATATTACTAAATACATGTTTGAATATACGATATATCAGCAAAGCATCTCAATTCGTCAGATGATCTGTTAAAAGTGTATCGGTTCAAATGACCATCAGTCTGAACCGAAGTAGTGATAATGTTATCAAGATGCCTATTAATATCAGTATCAGCATGCCAATCGTGGTTCATATCGTGACCCATATTCACAAATATGCATTTCCGTAAATCATCTAGTCCGGCACTTGACCCAAGTCTGTAACCAAATTCATTCGCCCACTCGTCGCCTTTCGTTTGCTGCCCTACATTGCCGTTTGTCATTTCATTTATTACGTTCTCGATGTGTTCTCCGTAACTATATCCATTGCTGCTGCCATTATCGCATGGTGTCAAGGGTGGAGTAGTGGTAGAAAGAGTGTTGACGAACGTATTATCGGGTTTGGCAGGAGGAAGCAGATATGGCGAGATAAGGGAAGGAGTCGAATAATCATCGTAGGGAAACGATGGCTGTTGTGTTATTATTGGAGATGTAACGGATAAACAGCTAAAGGATTGTTGTGTTGAAGAGATTGGTACGTCCGAACATTGTGACGGATAAACTGGAGAAAGAAGGATGGGGTTGGAAGATGATGATGTGGCATGGCTGGCTGCGGGATGAAGATTAGTGTCAAGTGTGGGATTGAACAAAACGGTCGATGGCGTTGTGGTTGTGGTAGTGGTAGTGGTTGTGGTTGTGGTAGTGACAGTGGCGGAGGTGGTAGCAGTTGTTGGGTAAAAATCATCATAAAGACTCAATTTATTAGTATCGTCCGAGATTGTGTCACCAGCATTTGTGTCATTATGATTTGCGTAGTCATTGTTTGCAGTATTGTTTTCCTTGTTTGTTCGATTAATTATAATAGGATTACTAATAACACCGGCATTTTCTCTCTTTTTGCTCTCCTTTCTGCATTTTTTCTTTCTAATCCTTTCTTTTTTCTTAGGAGAAAATTTGTAATTTGGATATGTACGCTTGTGCCACTTTTCTGCTTCTCTCTGCAGATAGATGAAATATCTTTTTGTTTGTCCTGGAAGTTTATTCCATGCCTCGGTGGCCATTTTAGTATAACAAGTGGTCGACAATCGCTCGTCTGGATGTTCTAATTTGTATCTGGCTTCGAAATCTTTACGGAATATCATGAATTGATTTAACGGACGCGGTATTTTATGTTTTGCAGCTCTTTTGCCTTTGGCTAAGATTTTTTCAAAGGGTAGAGTGAGGATATATGGCGGGTTATGTTCGAACAGAAGCTCTTCTGCACGGTAGCTTTCAAGTTGAAACACTTGGGTGCCATCTGGAGATATGTTATCGGTAGTAGTCGAGGAATCGAATAGTGGATAGGGATTGAAAGAGGGTGTTACTTTTGTTCGTATCATTGCGCTCTGTGTACGTATGATGTATGTATGTATGTATATAAAGTGCGTATAATATAAACGTCAAAGTGTAAACGATTGTAGTCGACAATGTGTATACGTGATCTGATTTCCCTCTCAAAGATCGACTCTTTAACTGATTTTCTGTCGATCTTAAAAGGCTTTATATGATGTGATGGGTTGATTTGACTCGTCTTCACCAAAGTGAGTTGCTATGTTCTCCAAATACCTGGATGGGTCTTTGATGGACGTGCTCGACGACTCTTTTATAACAAACATCAATCCGAAAATTCGAGACGCTTACAGAGTCCCTGTTTCAATGTTTCGGCAGCTGCTGTCGTTTAATTGCCTTTTGAAATCGTAAAGGCTGCTTTACCAGGCCTTTGTTTGTAGACACATGCAGAATTTTATTGGATGCGTGTGGAGTTGTCTGCTTTGAAACCAAAGCAATAACAATGTCGGATGTTACACCAAGTGTCGATCAAAAGAATTGTTATCGCACAATATGATCTTTGCATAATAGTAACGGCATGTTTAATGTTTGTTTGAGAACTTTATATGACCATGAATCGATTATAACGCATCACTTGTCTATAAATAACCAATACTTTACTGATCTCGGATATTATAACACATTACTATAAGTGCTAATGTCTGATCACTATACCAATTACGTACACACTGGCAATGAGGGTCGGAATTGGAAAAAAGGCCTCGTATATTCTATTCTCTACCAAGGATAAGCATGTTTGACGTTTTAATCTATTTTTAGGATTGTTCCTTATTTTGACATGTCCCTGTCTGACAACACCTTAACGTCAGAGAGGATTAACATTCTCTTTCCTGAAACAACGTTTGCGATCACACTTTTTTCAATCCTCATGTCAAACTTGGACACAACATAAACATAAAAACTGTGGGCAATTATAAATCATATGGTCATCTATTGTATTGTATTGTATGCCACGATCAAATTATCTGGCAGATTTATATTTGTGTACATTGCACTAAGACTATTTCTCACGTGCATGCAATGATTTACTTTTGGAATGAATGCCCACAGACAACGATTTACATGAACAAATATAATCACCTCTTTATTCCTTAAACAGTGTTTGTCTCCGAGCTTGAGTCACCAGCGTGTTTGTAACCATTATATATTACTAAGCATACATTTTCTTATAGCGATGGGCGGTTTTTTATTCAAAAACTTCGCTATGTATGAATTATACAAATCACGTGTATGTATCACAGTATTAACGCAGTGATCCCAAGCCATCAGTTTAATGGATGTGATATTCGCATCGTAAAGTAAACTAATCGCAAGTGTTTCGCAGTGTTTCAAGGCCTTTACATTTTTTAACGCTATCACTGATGGATGGATACATAATAAAGATGGTTTTTTAATCGTGATCTAATCCCAAGTAAAAGTGATATCAGCGTTGAAATTTTAATCATTATTCAGCAGACAAGTTAAAGTGTCATTTGGTAGTCGTAATTACTTGTTTAATACAGTATAATATCCATTTAATACAATATACGTTTAATAAAACTATACACACGCATTTAATATACCGTATGGTTTATTACAGCGTATTATTCTTATATTTTGGTTTTAACTTCAAATAAGTTTAGCAAAGATCGTACCAAATTGTGTTGTAAGGGCTTTGTTAGTAAAAAGCAGTTCATTATTGGTTATCGAGCGGTCTAGATTTAATTTAGCTAAAACTCGTGGTATGTATAAAAACAGCTTTATAGAAAAAAGAGTTGAAAATCTACGGTTAAAAATTTAATTCAAATCTTATAAGCCAGAGATGTAAATTGGTTTTCGGGTTTAAGAAATTTCTTATTTGTCGTTTATGTTTAATAATGTATGAATAATGAGTTTTTCGAATAAGTTCTATGTCGTGTAATATCCTTTGTACACGTCATATCATATTAGACGGACATGCAACATTCGATTTCTTAGCCATCCGAAACGTGCATTTTTGTGAACGTTTTAGTACCAGATGTACAACCGTTTACTCTGAAAACTACTAGAACATATGACACTTGTCTAAACCGTTATATTGTTCTGCGGTTGGAATGGTAAAGTCTTTGTCTTAAAGATTTAACGTTAAGAATCAAATTACACATTGAGTTGGGTAATTCAGTAGACGAATTGTAATCACGCGAATCTCAAATAATTAATAAATTCTTTGACTTTTTCTTTTTGCTTTATGGTTTATCTGGGTTTTTATTGCATTACGCACTTTGTAAACGAAAAATGTTTAGTATTAACGTTGATATCCTTTCTGTTGGTATACGCTCCGAGTTTTGTAGCATATATGGTTTTAGTTATTCTGTAGAATCTAAATATCAAAAGAATATTATTGTACATTAATTTCTGTATCAACATTACAAACAACTGGCTATTGGGCTCTTTCACTTTAACAATTCTTTACCACAGAACGCACAGAAATTGTAATATGAAACAAGCGTGTAAACGAGTATGGTTATACAGAACAATAATCACAGATTCTAACAATTTTCCAAATGGGCTCGATAATAATAAATACAATGTCTGTGAATCGATAACTGATTAACAATCAAGAATTGAGCAATTTGAGATGCACATGTGTTCAAAGAACAGCTTTTAGGAAGACACCTGGCTAGTACTATTAAACCAAACGTCAATAAGCGATTATTTTACATTAATAGCTGCAACAATCGGAGTCCGAGCATTCTTTCGAAACACTATGCGATAGTAAACAATCTGCTTCGCAGAAGCGCATAACCAGAATAGCTGAGAAAATTAAATAATTACCCGGCATATTCAAAGAGATGTACAGGAGGATATTTGACACGAGGAGACATACGTATTAATATCGTCTCATTAACAAAGATAACGAAGAGAAATTAGAAAGAGTACCTTGGAAAATTCCTGACTAAACCGGATAAGTGAATTTAGTCCTATTATTCTCAGTAGTGTTTACAAATTTTACATTTTATGCTTTTAGAAAATAATCTCTTGACAAAACCATCGGGTAAGCCGCATAAATAGACCATTTTTCCTAGTATCGCTTACTCATTTTTTTGTCTCAAATGGTAACTGAAGCCATTTGTGAGATAAGAAGATTTTGTAATTAAAAAACTATCAATTCAATTAACATAAATTCTACTTCAAATACTCGACAAGCAGTATGAGGGCCAAAGGATTGGAATTAACAGACAAGCAGAGTCCGCGAACCAATTACGCGTTCTAAAGCAATATCCGACTTCAGTTCTGACTGATAGGAGTAGTCAAAGATATGAAAATACTAGCTTTTGTCGGTAATGAGACAGGGACAAAAATTGATAATTTCATTAATACGAGAAGTTAGCGTTAGCGTTGCGTTGCTAATTTTAGCTTCTTTGTCATAGTGCTTATCAGTTTCATTGTTGTCTTGTTGTTAAGCGCAGAATTCTAGAAAAGCTTGCATTATTAAATAGAGGGAACACTTTATAAGCATAAGTTGACACTAGTACGTACACACTGGCAAAACTTTCCTATTCTACGTGGCATAATACAAACTCACAACGGCATCAAATAATTGCGTTTTGCCAGACGTCGCCAATTGCTTAATTTTATTCAATGAGCTAACCGAATTGCTTTAACTATTTATTTTAGAAACTTACGGTATGTCAACATTTCTCTTCTTAAATTAACTTAACGATATTTTCTACGAGTCTAATTCAAAGACTGTTAGTGACCATGCATAGTCTTTGGACAAAGAGAAAATAACGGTTTCCTAATATTTTATCGCAAATTTAGAAACCTATATCGTTTTTGGTAATGCACATCATAGTACATAGTCAAACTCGAAAAATAAGATAAATTCACTCTGAGATAAAGAATTTACCCGCCTAAATTTTTAATAATCCTCGATAAAATAAAACCTCTATAGGTTAAACCATTCCCCCAGCCCGTCGACTTTATTATATCGAGTTTGACTGTGTACATATTTGCATCGACAATCTATTTCAACTTAAAACTATTATTATTATGTTCTTGGCTTTTAATATAAATGATCACATGTCAATCGATAAAGGCACCTTCTTCTGGTTTAATTGGGCCGCCTTTTCCTTTCCGTTGACTCTTTCACTTGCTGGATTTCTTTCTTTACGTTCTATATGCCTATTTTGATTAAAGATCTGTCGCAATACTATAGAATAATACACGATAATCCCATTCAAATAAATGACCTCTCTTAAGCATCAGGTCCAAGTTTCACCGTTAAATAGCCACTCTCGAATTCAATCAAGGACAGTCATTCTCAATGAATAATGTCTAGACGTTCAAGTAGATTCTACATCAATAAAAAATTATATATAAAGACAGTCACTCTTGAGCAATGCTAAGCATGTAATATAATATTTAGAAGTAACGTCTAAACTTATCCACTCTAAAAATGACTGTTATACAGTATGCAATTGACGAGTTAATCAGCGTTAAGATAGTGACAACCTGATGACATTTATACGAGTTGTTCATTCATCGTAATCAGCCAAAAAGTTTCATATTTCAACATCTACACTCATCCTATGTCAAAAGTTTGCACTCGAGTATTGTCCCCCCAATAGAGTATAGCAAAACTGTTCACAAAGAATTTCTACAAGACTGGTTCGGATCGCAATGAATGACTCAAAGCGTAATTTCTGTTTAAGAGCTCGCGATCGTATCACATAGAATGTGGATGTTTGTGGCTATAAAACTACCAGACATATCCAGTGCAGGCATTTAAACAGATTACCAACTTACAGTGGTTAGCAAACACCGAATGACGCATTATAGAACGCAACGGATTATAGAACGCAACGGATTATTGGGTGGTATTTTTGGCTTTACTTGTTTTCCTATTCTTATACTGAGAATTTGAAAAAAGAAACAATGGGAAGAATCACATTATGGTGTTTAGAAGTTTAGCCCCTGAAATTCACAGTGGTCAGTTGGTCTGGCAATTAATAATTTACTGCTGTTCGATCTCAAATTATCGATGAAAAGTCGTACCCAGATCAAAGTCTGGTGACCTTGGGATGGGGGGCTGTGTATAAACTTAAATCTGCTGGTCCAAGTTATGACTAGTAAAGTATAACAAAAAATTGTGGTCTCTATTGTTTATACGTACTACGAAAGGTTACAATGATTTGTACTGTATTGATTGTATTCTTTTTGAAGAAATAGTGTGACTTTTAAATTAGTTATTGCGACGAAGGGCAGTATCTGGTAGTTCGATGAAGTGACAGTATTATGTTACACATGATCTCATACGTTTTTAATAAGTGCAACATGAATACTACTTCACACTTCCGACTGCACCTATAAACAAGAACAAGACTGGATATGTTCTGAAAACTGCAACCAAATTAGTTTCAAAACGGTACAAAATCATTGTGATTTACATAGAAAATACAGGACAAACAATGATTTTCGGGGGGAAAAAGACTTTTCATAGTTTACTAGTGAATCGAGGATACTAGTACTTTTGGGCGGGGGAATGTATACATTCGTGTGAAACATTTCACTGTCGACTGCGAAACGGTTATTGTATACTATGATAAGCCGCACAAAATTGTTCGTAATGTAATATAGTATATGAATTAAAAAAAATCGGTCAATCTACCAAAAGAGCTCCCGTAGCAAAGTGGCAATGCGTCGTGCTTATAGGTATACAGCCTATACTTGAGCAACGCGAAGGTCGCGAGTTCGATCCTCGCCGGGAGCAATTTTTTTCCTACATGTACCCCACCTGAATAGGAAAGATGCTTTGCTTTGTTATTGTAAAGACGATCATGCGCATTAACAAGTTTAGCTTAATCAGGTCAAAAACCAGAAATTCCGTCTTTATTTGTTAATTGTTGTGAGTATGAAAAAAGTAGTGTAACTCACGTTCAACGCCATCAACAAAATCTGGTAAAGCAAGCCTTGGCAATGATGAGAGAATGTGATTGGATTATAAATATTTTCCCTCGCTATAATCTGAGAAGCCTAGAGAAGATGTGAATTACGCAATAGATGTGACACAGGCTGTGATTTTTAAGTGGGAACTATGATGTACATTACAGTAACTACCAGGAAATGTCACAAAACAAGGGACATGCTCCTGATTGTTATAGTTTGAATAAATTTAGATAAATTGTCATACTCGTGAATCATAGATTCAGCCACCATAATCACAATTGAAGTGTTTGAAGTATTTTTAGTCAGTGTCCAACAAAGGAATAATGTAAATGGCTTGGCATGAATACAGCCATAATCATTATAAGATTGGACAGTTTTCTATTAATACTCGAACAAATTCTAATATTCCAAGATCTATTACAAGTCAGATTTAGCTTTGAATTTTAAAAACATGACAACTTTATATAACAAACGCTGTATAATAAGCAAACGATACAATACAATTGTTGATGAGACATGTCCATGCGCAGCTTACAAACAGTGAGTCGATCAGAGTCATGAAAAGAGAGAAGACGGAATCCGAAATTCTCTGCAAGGTGCACACACGATGATGAGCTTATTAGCATGTAGGTTTATCGGGTTTAGTCAAGATCATTTAGTTCAAATGTTGGTTAGCAAAGATTGGTGACATGATGTATATTACGAACAAATATTTGTATTACTGCTGTACTTCCCATTTAATAATAAACAGTAGGAATAATCGGGAAAAAAAAGGAGAACTGTGCACAAAATCGTGTGAGCCCTACGAAAGTCTAATCCTCCACCACCACCAACCCCCCATCATCAATAAAAAGCTATCATCCCCTTTTTAAACGAAAAAAAATATTTTCTCATTACCAAGATTACGCTCTCTTGGACCTTTCTTTAAAAGTTTCACCGCTTTTTCGTTACGCCACCATTACAGCATCACACAGTATTTTTGCTGTCCAACCAAAACGGCTAAGAATTCATTCATCTGTCACAGGCTATTTTTAAAATTCAAACAAAGCGCAGAACATTTGAAAGGAACAATCACGTTGTTTCGAATATAATAACACATACCTTCCCCCAAACGAGTCTGAATATATTTGTAAAAAAGTGTGTTGACAAATATTTTTTTGCCAATCAGTAAACACCACAGATAAAAAAGAAGCTTAGTGTCGAGTAATAAATAACATTCTTGACCTGCTTGGGACACGCAATAACAGTACAAGTGGTGTCACTCTCTGATATATAAATAAATACATACATATCGAACACAACCACCACAGACAAAAATCAGTCCACCCCTTCTCAACAGTCTCTTAATTATATATATAACAAAAAGACTTTGTCAATGGCTAGTCTCTTTCGGAGAAATACAACAACTTCTGCACCAAAGAAGGACGAAGAATTCAGCGACTATGCGACAGTTATCAGCCACGAGGTAAGAGGGGTCGCTACTCATTCTGACTGAAACCTCGGCCTGTTGAAACACTCGGCTAAATCTTGTTTGTTTGCTCGTCCGTAGAGTGATCCCAGAAAGCTCAAAGAATATATTGGACGTCTGTACAAGGCATTTAAAGACAAAGTACGTATTCGATATAAAAGGATGTGAAAACATGTACCGTCATGAGTTGATGATGTCAATGTTGCTAACCCGAGTTTGTTCTGTTCATCCCCATTGGATAATCCAAACCGACTAGTCGAGAAGCCTTCGATCTGCATATTCAAAACTCGATAATTTGAACGCGGAAATATTACAAGAAAAGACACGTCTCAATGATATCGAAGATGAGAACAAGTCACTTCGAGGTATTTATAAAGAATGTTTATAGAATGCATGTCCTTGCCATGACGAATTTTTAACAGGGTTTTTTTACGTTTCAAAAAAAATAAAGATCAAATGAAAGAATTAGCCAATCAAGTGGTATCGAAAGAAGAACAGTTCAGCGAGTGGCAAGCCAAGGTAAAAAATGGAGAAATACAGCCGTGACGCATTCAATCAGCCAACCTCGCTACATTCCAGTCCCCGAATCTCCACAACATATACACTAACCCGTCCCCCCTTTCCCTGTTTTTTGTTTTCAGATTGTAGAGCATACGGAACAAGAGCGTGAGCTTTTCGAAGAAGAAAACGAAGTACAATCTGCACGATATGAAACTCGTATCGCTGAACTCGAAGATGCACTTCAAGTTGCTAATGATGAGCTTGCACGATTAACGGCACGTGTGCGCGAGTTGATTGATGCTGCAAGTGAGGATAGTCGGAGCTCGTTTAGTTATGATTCGCGAGTCAGTGAGCAGGTATGTGTTGCGTGATAGAATATGCAAAACACGGGAATAGAGAGACTAGTTTACAATTATTTAACAAGAGAGGGTGATATAGATACATAGTGTTCTTATAATGCTAAATTATTGGTTTTGGGCTATTTGTAATGCTTGTGTGATTTAACAGACAAAAACGCTTGCTGATGGTGAGAAGCACGAATTGACGCAACAGATTATCGAAATTACCGAACGCCGAATGAGTTTACAAACCGAAGTCTCGTTACTTGAAGAAGAGAATCACGAATTAAGGGTAAGTGTACAAGATATGATAACCTGATTGTTGGTTTTTTTTTTCCCTTTTCTCCCCCTCATATTAATTTGCCATTCCTCCCAGGCCCAATACCGAGAAATACAACGTGAAAATGTCACGCTTCGACGTGAAAATGAAGAACTCAAGCAACAGATTGGAAAGCGTGCATTTATGAAGTCATTGGAGAGTGTGAATCTTGATGATGACTAACAAACTCTTCTTGGCTTACATATTGTAGTATTATTATTCATTTATTCAACAAAACAAAAAACGATATTCGTAGTCTTATCTTCTTAACCAATGTAAATTTACCAATTCGCAGCGAGAAACATATATCCAATCAATCACCTAATATGTCGTCTTGGGATGGGGGAAAGAGGTGGTGATTATTATCTCTTCTCTGGGAAGAAGAAGAATTAGAGTTTCAAGTATAACATATCAACTGATTTGTTTCTCTTTTGTAACTATACTATCACTCTATTCATCGATGTATCCATATATATACTTTATGGGTTTTATTATTCTTTTACTTGTAGCCCTCGTTGGCTTATAGATTCATGTGTTATTATTTTTTTTTCAAGTCCTTACTTTGTAAGTGTTTTGGGTTGCTGGTCATACGCGATCACTTTCAACAGTGAGATTTGATAACAAAGTTGGTTCTTTTTTTAGTACAGTTTTTTTATACGTTTTATTGGCAAACATATATATGTTCATATTAATTCTAGCATACGTGTAAAGCAGAGACATGATATTATACGTGTATGGATGTTTTGGCCCACACACACATATACGAATTATCCCAACTAAAAAGCAAGTGTTAGTAAGACATTGTTGTTTCGAAGGGTTTAGCGTGAAATGTTCCGCATCTGCATGTGTTACTTGGAATGTACGAATAAAGAACGACATGAATTTATGTAACAAAGACAAATGAGTACGTTCTTTACACAAGTCGAACTACAAGACCTCCGTAATTCTAAGGGGGACGGCGAGCGATAAGTAATATGTCATACGACACACACGGAAACATCCTTGGTATTCGAAAATCAATCGTTGGAAATTCCATCAATCTGAAATCTTGTTTGTCACAAGAACGAGAAGGGGAAAAAGGGAGCGGCGAGGGGGGCGAGTTTCTCGAATAAATTAAAGATCATTTTAACGGTATTCATCTTATAGAACAACTTTATTGTGGCAGCGGCCCCTGCTTTCATTCGAAGCATGAGCACATGCTTGTTCTTTCTCTCTTTCATCTTGCATATTAATACATCGCTTGCGTCTAAAAAAAATCATCCAATTTGGTTGGCCGAACGTGTTATTTTAGAGTTTGCGTATTTTCTGTTTGAGATATAAACTGTTCACTTACAATATAACAAACCAGGGCCAAGAAGGAGAGAAACCCGAAAAAAAGGGCATCGCTTTTTCCAAAATAAAATTCAATATATGCAATGTCCTTTGATGTATGCCGTGTTTGGTGATAGTCCTGTTGTTGACACTCTTACATGCACTGTAATTTAAGTCGTTTCTTAATTAGGTTGTTATAATTAGCAAAGTGATGAATTTTAAATAGTCAGTTGACTTAAAAATCGGTAAAAAGCGGAAACTGATAAATTGCCGACAATTCTATGAAATCTCGGCATAATAATAAGACGTTATAATAACTAGCCTTTTTAATTTACTACAGCATTCTCTTTACATACTGTACTTGCCAGTTTGGTTAAAACACGTGCAACACATCGTGTACTTTGACAAGGACAAACTGCCTTTTCGTTTATGCAATTTTTTAAATTGATTGTATACGCTGCTATCCATTAGAATGTCTCGCGTATTGGTGAAAACAGTCTGTTGATTTTGATATCCGGTCTCTACCGTTGATGCTGCTATACTAACTATATTGGCTGACTAACGCAGATAATACAAAAGATGCTGTCGATAATAGCTTTTAGGTAATACCAAGATTGGACGTGTCAATTTCGTTATCTGTATCTTACGCAAAGCTTAATTGATTATCCTTATTCGAATATCTCTTCGCCGTAACGAGTAGAGTCACATGTGTATACACTCAATTTGTGCCCTGTCAAGACCATTAAACATAGAAACACACGGGTAATGTTACTATTAATACGCAACTATTATTATAAATTTGGTAATGGGGTTATTTCGTAATCCCAGTAAAGCAATAATGATACACGCCCGACAAATTAGTATATTCGTACCCATACCGTTAGCTCGTATTTATCCAAATTACGCAATGCTAATTATCAAAATTGTGGAATAAGAATTTATACACATATTACGCGTTTTCAAATATATCAATACAAGTACAGACGTTTATAACATATTTATTATATCACGCCTGTAATTTAAATTTACTGTTTTACTTTTTATAGCACCAGCAAGGTGACTTATGACGTGATATTCAAAAAAGGTAATATTTTTATGCTTGGCATAAATCGACTAGATACTTGAATACGCAATCTGGAACATTACAGAACAGAATTACATGGGTGACGGTTTTTTTGTAATTACCTTTTTTTCTTAGTATCACGCTGTACTGTTACTGTATCTTACCCCAACAAACAATGGGGGCATCAAATATATTTAGCAATTGTGTAGCAATTAGAGAAATAACTATTAATAGAAAAGCTTTATAGGGAAACCCATTAATTTGTTTAACGAGTTTACAAAGTTGAATAAAGCTTGTAATTCTCAATTCTTAATTTAGAAAAAAAACACGAAAATCCGTGTGTCTTGCATTTTTCAAACATATCATCATTGTGCCGACGACACGCCTTTTGTACAAGTCGTTTAATTTGTTGAAAAATGCGTACCCAAACAGGTTATTTTATCCCTAAATACATTTCGTATGTCCGAGATTATCGTTATCATGGAAAGGGTCGGGCTGTTCTGTTCGTGTAACGCCGTAATTTAGGCAAAAGTGCTATTATTGCATAATCGATTGTTGTCATTATTGTTACTACATTGACAAATTTTTATGTCATCCCAAACACAATCTACAGACAGTCTGTGGTAATTTAGCGGTTCGGTATTGTTATCGTTAGTCAGTCGATAAGCACATATCGAAAGCAGTTAGTATTAGTTACATAATTCGTATTAGGAAATTGTGCTACATGTATGGATAAGTGTGACTTTTATCTTACACATTCATCTCCTGAATAATAAAGACCAAATGAACTTGTCATACATAAACCGGGGATACACTGGTCCCCAGTAATAAAATCATCGAGCACTACCAATTAATCTGTAATTAATTCTCGTTCAATTCCGTTTGGGTAATTATAAATTGTGATCTCAGTAATCATATACCAAATCAAAGTGAAAAAAAAACAACGCGACACGTACAACAATAATTAAGAAAACACACAATGAGATACCGGATTTTTGTAATTATGATCAGAAACATTGTTGAGTTTAAAAAAAAATTGAAATTAAATGAGTATTTTTTTTGTTGAAAAATGACATTTTACATAGTTCTTGATACACATAAATAAAATACACGTGATGCATGTCTAGCATGAAAAGAGAAAGGAAAAACGAAATAATAATTAAACAAGAAAACCAAAGCCAGCAGCCAATGTCACCATCAAAAAAAAAAAAGTGAATGAATTATGTGGCTCGGGTGTAGGTGACAAGTTTGGATCGATCAATAATTTAGAACCATTCGCTGCACCATCTAGAAAGTTCATTGCCTTATTATCAATTGCATTCCATCCAACACATTGAAAGATGTAATCGAACGAACATGCAAATAAATAAACAAAATAGTATAAATAGATTAAATCAAATTATTTCTTCGCGCGCGCCCATCTTACTACTAATTAACCTCATTTCTTTCTAATTCTAAATTAAAAATCCCTTACAATAGTTCTTTCATCGCGTCAAAAAAGAGTGTCAAATATCCATGTTCATTTGTAAACAGCCTTTTCTTTTCCTTCTTCTTCTTCTTCTTCTTCTTCTTCTTCTTCCTCATCCCAGTTATTTGTCATCGCTTTCAAGTTCTCCTCGAGCCAACAGATCCTTTGCATCCATAGTTTCAATTCGTGCCTGCTTTCTCGAAACACTTTGTAACCCAGTACCTTCCTCTGCCAACTCTTTTTTCATCAACTCTTTGGCTTCTCTTCTCAACCTCTTTTCCTCCTCTGTCAATGTCTCTTCATCATCATCCTCATCTTCGTCAACATCAGCTCCCCATTCTGGTTTTCTTAATCCATGTCTGAACGCATCGGACAAAAACGCTGCCTCGGATACCGATAATGCACCAGTAGAACTCACAGAAGAGAATGTGAGGCTCGGAATTCCCGTTAGACTCGATCGTGATGGTGACGATAGCGATATCCTTTGGGCTATATTCGGTTGGCTTTCTTTCTTTGATAACGGTGTGACCGAGGAGATCGAGGCTACGTCGACGGGTGATTCCAGGTCGCGTGAATCCTTGTATTTGCTGACCATTGGCGTTGCAGAGGACGTGGAAAGCGTGGACATGGATTTATTTGGTCGCGCTTTACGGCTCCGTGCTGCCATTACTAGTGCTATTATTGCTACAAGTGCTGTTATTATTGCTACGCAGACTATTGCTATGAGTGGTGGCGTGAATGTGGTGCTGTCGTCATTTGACGATACAACTGTGGTTGTGGATGGCGAAACATCGGTACTTGATGCGGGAGCTGGGACAGTTGCCGCAGCACTCGGTTCAGCAGCTGGTTCTGGGGAGAGAGAGAGAGAGAGAGATGAAAAGAGTGTGAATATACGTAAGAAAACAAAGAAACAAGCATGACGATGATCTGTGACTTTAAACTCGCTCTATCACGTACTCGTTTTCGCTCAACTATTCGTCACATCATCACTCGTCACTTTTCCCCCATCCGTTTTCTACCTCTCGCCGCGTTCGCGATACTTACCAATGATGTGAAATACTGGACCTTGTGGCGCGTCAAAAGGAGATGAACCGGAAGCCCCAACTTTAAAAAAGAAATCCACAGTCTTTGGTTGCGGACCAGGCGCAGAGGGGAACCATGATAAATCCATTTTGATTGGCAATATCTGCATGTTGTTATCTACAGCCATATCGCTATATACCAATGCAAAGTCGTTATTCCGATATAAATACACGTCTACTTGTCCTTTTGTTTTGATCACAACATCTTGGGTATTCCATGCGAATTTTATTGTTGCATTATTATCCGCGGAATATGTATATGTATCGTTTGCCGCTGGTATGCAATAGAGATCACCATTACCCTTACTACAGAGCGGTGCTGCTTTTATTTCGTGTAAAGAAAGCAAAGTTGTTAGTAAACTGTATAAGACTGTTTGGGGGAGGTAAGGTTTTCGGGTACCGTTCTAAAACTCTGTTTATCAAAACTCTGTTTATCAAGGTTCTGTTCTGATTCTTTCTAATCATAAATATGCGTTTTACGTACTTGCTTGTCTCCTGTATATAATATTTGACTCGGGCGTGGCCCTAACGACGAGTAGGGTTGTTATTAGGAATAATGATAGTATTCCTCTTGTCATGAGTATTTGTAGAATTTTTGACGTTGTTAAAGTGTAAGAAGGTAGTAAAAATGTCCATGTATTCGCCATAAAGCAGCATTTAAGGGATAGATTGGAATGGATATTTGATTGGTGCGCCAAATTAGTCTAAGCAAGCGGGACTTAGCCCTGTTTAAGAAACGGGGCAACACGTATCTGCTAAATTTGAGCAAAATGAAGAACTAGTCGATAAATGAAAGGGGGATGTGCCGTGTGAGCGATCGTAATAATTGGGGAACATTGATTGTATATAAGGCAGATTTCAACGTATGTAACATTATAATATGATGTAATGTATATTGTGGATTATATTTAACTTGCTTGTTTGGTGTCCCATTTGCTATTTTTAATTACTAGTGTCATACGACCTATTTATTGTGAAAAATGCAGTTTTTCTGACCAATAAAATAAAAGGTTGCAATGTTATCATTCTTTAGATTCTATTAGTTGATATGATGCAAGCCGAGGTACTGCCATACAGGATAACGTTTTCCGTTTTCCTACGCCTCAGCACCCATAATAGTACAATAGTATGGTTAATATGTGCGGCAGTTATTTCTATTTGTGTTACATTGTGAAAACCCAAAATTTTTGTTGCTGGTTAGTTCGAGATTGTTTGCTTTGTGTATGGACGCTCAAACTGCTTTATGGGGAAATTACTCGTCGCAGTGTAATTGATTATTTGTATCATGGGGACAATTGAGGCTAGTGCGCTGATTGAGGTGCTAACCATTATAATACGTCGTGAGATAATGAAAGAGAAGGAATTATAGACCCCCCGATACTAATTAATCACGAAAACGATAGGAGAGGGGAATTAAAGTTTCACGATGAATAATAACTGACTAATGGCCTGGCCATACGCTATTAATTACCATTCTCTTTTTTTCATGCCAGAATTAAACCAAATGAAATAGTACGTAAGCCCTAAACAACTATTTTCAAAGCAGGCCTCTGGCTGACCATATTCACATGTCTATTACGTTAATAATCGTCATTTACGCTTAAAATGAATTTAAAGTGGTCTGACCTTGTCTGATTTTATTATTGCTACGTTTTCTCTCTCCCCATTCAAGAAACGTGCTAAAAGCGAGTAAACTTGTAATCCTCCTCAACTTTATTATCATGTTGCACCAGTGTCCTCGAACGATGCGCCCGTATGCGTTATTGTTATGTTGACCATTGTTATTAATGGGCCGTATGTTGTTAATAATAGCTTTTGGTAGGTATTTTTCAATTTTTTCCGGATGACAAGTCAAACATACATACGTACCTGCCCATTGGGCAATCATAGCTTGATAACTATAGTCTTTTCTTGGCATTGTTGAAATGTGCGATGGCTATCAAATACCGCTACGATTGAGTCTCATCGTATAAAAAAGAAGGATCACGATGTTGCTTCAAACTATACCATGTAGTGTTACATAACGTTCAGGGGGAGCGCTCCGGTCCAAATGTCAATCATCCGAACATCTTATGATCGAGAGCATGTCTTTAATATGCTCATTCGACAACCGTCTGTTGAGCGACACATTTCTGAGCGATCTGTTTTTTTTTAAAATGGTGGTGTTATTAATTACGCAAGTAACTGTTGTATCTCGATTGGAGAACTGTCTCGGTTCTAGTTGGAATTTATTAACCTTTTATTACTAGGAACCATCGCATCGAATGTTTGTAACTTATCTATGCACATTAATTAAATAATTGCAGAATGACTAATTATTAAAGATTTGCCTACTACATAATTTGTAATTATTACTCGCTTATCAACAAAACAATACTAATCGCTCCTCTTCTATACAGTCTTTGTTTTGATATACAATCTGTATGGTTTATGATTTACGTAAATAATAATATGCCAGTCTTGCATGATACATAAATTAATAATAATTATTATAGTAATGCGGTTTTTTGAACCTGTCTTTAAAAAAAAAGTTGCCACATTAAATACGAGTATATTTGCGAAAACTTTCACGTTCTTTTCTTGTCAGCTTGTTATCACAATAACAAACGCATTACTATACAAAGCTCGTGATAGTATCGGCGACTTAAAAATAACTTTACTAAAAATACAAAGTGTGGTTAAAAAATAGACATGTCCAACCCCTTGTTTCACAAAAGTAGACTATTGAACGGAGCACACACACAAACGTATCTCTGGCTGATAAATCTCAAGTCTAATCTCTAAACAACAACTAATCAGCTTACAAAGAAATCTTTGTTTAGTCTATTACCTAAACGGGGAAACACGCCTGATAGAAAACTGCATCCTTATCGACAAACCTTGAAATATCTAGTTGTTCTAGTCGGATGACTTTGTAAGATTGATTGTTCAGCTATATCGATCGAGGGGTGTGGCACAGAGAAATAAACTTTATTCATGCCTAATTGTTCAAGTGCGAAACTTTGATAATGACCAAGCAAAACTTTTTATCGACAATACTTTTGCATGTTCTTTGTAGTCTATAAGAACAACAGCAAGGTTACTTTTGTTAAATAATACAAAAGCAATATTTTATAAACCTTAAACGTTTTATTCGTTTAATTGTTTCAGTCAGCCGTCATTATTGACATTTTTGCTTCCCATAGTAAAGTGTTATTTTAAGTCACAGCAACACTAAACAGAAAACATCTGAAACTTGCGCTTGCGCTTGATACCTTTCTTTGGTAAGAAAAAAGAACGTAACTTTTAAATTAAAAAAGTACATACGTCAACCATTAGCCTTAATTAGAGAATTATACGTTGACGCACGCCAAATGTTCACCATGTCTGGTTTTGTTGCAAAATGCCTATATGTTCATATGGGGCATAGTGCGACAAAACCAGACAAAATGAACAATAAATGAGGAAATTATGATGTACCAGTGTGACTGATGACATTTTGAAAAGTACTAATGCTGCTCATTCACAACCTATTATTATGGACTTGTTAATTTTAATCTTCACTTTATCATACATAAATATAAACCATAACATAATCGAATTATATTTATATCTATATAAAAAATATTAATGGGAAATTCATTTATATCAAATTCACTATGGAACCAAAAAATTACAGCACTATTGGAAGTATTTTAGAAAAAGCTCAAGGGGAGAAAAATTGTACTTTACTTTTAAAATCAATGATACCCAAACTCTTCAATAAAGAAAAATTACTTATTATGAGAAGAATGAAAATAAAAACTAATGAGCATTCACTTATGATGAACAAAAAAAAATAATAACTGATATGGGAAGACTGCAACAAAACCAGAAAAAGTGAACAAATAATGCCACAAGTCTCACTCTCTTGGCTACAATCAACCCTCCATTCAAGCATCCTCCATACACGCATGCCATGGCTTATTCCCAAGATTTAAGATCAGAGATTAAGAAATCGATGCACACTCTCCATAGACGTGCACCTTCCATATTCTGCATTGCACAGTTTTTTCAATTCCCACTACTACTACTTTCCATCCGTTAACAAATTTTTCAACTGTCTTATCTGCTCACTTGTGTTCTCTTGTTGTAACAAAATGCCATCATACATTTTCAATACACTGCTGGCATTTACAATAGAAATCTCAGTACTAGTACTGTCATCCATTCTTCATCATTTACCTCATCAATATCTTCTTTAAACGACTACCACGGTGTTTATAGATTTAACGTTTTCTCTGTTTATATTAATCAGCCTACAACTTAAATTGCAATAAACAAAAAATTCAATCGACTTGTCCACAAAAAATGTACCTTATTCAGTAAAGTCTTGCGAAGCAGATTTAGCATTGCTAGTTAGTGCATTAATATAAATAGTTTAACTGAATGTATTATCTTCTAAAACCTTATTAGGTTCAAACATATACTTGTATAACGTGAAAAAGCAGCTTTAGAGGTCCACCTTAGTTGCGCTAATAAAGACACGGAACTAAATGTATTATCTTCGATTACATAATTCGGTCATTTAAATGCAGGCTATTGTCGGCCGACTTATCGAGACTGACTGTGTAGTATTGGCATAGTCTTTATGTGCATAGCTTTCTCGTCTTAGGATTTGAATCGGCAAGCAGAATGAATAAGACTTCCCCTATGTTTCTGACATTACCGATATCTAACTCTCCACAGTATTATGAGATATCTTGTCGAGCAATGACAAGTTCATTTTCAAGTAACAAAGTGAAAAGAATTCAACGACTCCATATAATAACTGATATTTGTCAATCTTTAGTACATACGTATTCAGTCAGTTTTCATTGATCGAAGCATAACTTTTCGCGATATGACGGGACTATTCGCAATGACCTGATAATATTCTCTCCCATGTTTCCCCCACAAACACGCGATACATCTTATTTGCAATAAAAAGGCTGACAATAATATTCGTCCTCCCTGTTTAAACCTCTCTTTATTTATACTCGCCGGTATGATGCATAAACATTTGCACGTAGTAGTTAGCAGTAAACAAAAGAAAGATTGAAGGCTGTACAACAGACGTAGTAAATTATCATCCATTGACATGTGATAAATAAGAACATTACTTAGAATGGGTAAAATCGAGGGGTATCGGTATTTTTTCTGCAAATTAGAATGTGATCAACCTATTACTATTGGTACACTACATGTCGGATGCTGCATATTTAGCTTGCGAAATTGGACTTTCTTTGATTCAGTTAGTAGTATACAGTAGATAGCATATGCTCTCTCATGTACTAGTACTAGCTGTCTATGTCTAAAAACAGCTTTAGCAGTCTTCTGTAGTTGTCAATAAAGATCCTATAAAATGAAATTGGACTTTTCTGAAATACCAATATATTAACATACATCGTTGCATAATTTAATAATATTGATTTTCGATATCAATAGTACTAGTATACTTATACTGCTTATACAGAAATGGGAAAAGAGGTTCAACATGTGTTATACCACAAAGCAGCTGAACAAGGAGATGTCAGTGCTCAATATAATCTTGGTGTATGTTATGCCAATGGAACTGGAG